CCAGTGCCCTACCCACTGAGCCACGGGCACTGCCCGAGTTAACTTACTTTAAAAAGAAACTGTTAGAACTCAACAAAAGGACAGCCCAACATAAAAATGGGCGAAGAACTTGAATATGTTACTGAAAGTTTAATACTTGTCCTGGAGGCTGAATGAGAGAGAACAAAGAAGGAGGACAAGTGGTTTGAGGAAAAGGAAAAAGAAGTTGATTAATTTGCCAACAAATGAGGAGGGCAATGTACTAGTCTGTAAGACTACCATCCTGGCTTTAAGTGGAAAAGCAAGGCTTTTTAAAAGGGGTAGGAATTGGCAGTGTCACATGTCCTGGCTTTAGGCTATTGTTGTCTAACTATAATTGGTGATTTGATAAACCTTATCTCTGAGATCTTGTGATCCTCACCTTGGTTCAGACAGCTCCGTTAAACTATCTCCTGTGGTTTAAGATACTAGAAAACAAACACCAAAGAACATTTTTCTGCCCCTTGACTACTGGCATCAGGCAAGAAGGCAAGGTCTTAACTCCTAAAACATTGAGTTGCTCTTATTCAGACCTTTACCTCTGTTACAAATAGAGATTTCTCCAAAGATATACAAATGGCCACTAAATGAGACTGAGCAGATAGCCCTCTTAGGTGCCTGCTGAAGTGGGGGTGGGGACCAAGCATGGAAGTAAAGAAAAAAATCTTGAATCACTTCAAGGGAGATCCAGGCAATTAGCCAGGGTTGAAAAGTAAATGAGCAGGCAGGTTGCAGTGGCTCACACCTGCAATCCTAGCACTCTAGGAGGCTGCAGTGGATCCCTTGAGCACAGGAGTTACAAACCAGTCTGAGCAAGAGCAAGACTCATCTCTACTAAAAATAAAAGAATTATCCAGGCATTGTGGCAGGTGCCTGTAGCCCCAGCTTCTTGGGAGGCTGAGGCAGGAGGATCTATTGAACTCAGGAGTTAGAGGTTGCTATGAGCTAGGCTGATGCCATGGTGTTCTAGCCTGTCTCAAAACTAAATAAATAAATAAAAGTAAGTAAGTAACCTTATAAGCAAGAAGATAGTAACAATAATACTTCTCTAACCAAGCCAGAGTCAGCAGGGATTTTAGCTTCCTATGAAAACTAAAAGATAATATCTTTTTTTTTTT